ATCTGACAAATATTTTATCACTTTAAACATTATTTTTAGTAGATATTCATATCTTAGTAGACGCTCTGTTTATTTTGTAAACAGTATATTTATTTTCATCTAGTGAATGTTCAAGAAATCTTATTAAAGAAAAATTTACACTCTCTACCAGGATTTGAACTTGCGTACCTCTGGATAGAGGAAGCTATCATTAGACCTGACATGCTCTAACCAACTAAGCTACAAAGAACTAGTTGATCAGGCAAGGCTGAATTGTGCCTTTTAAGTGAAACTTCTCTTGTCAGGAGATTAATAGTATAAAACAAAAATTTTAAATATATTACTACTAAACAGTACTGCTCTTTTGAAGAATGAGAAACTGGATACTTGACTAAAAATATTAATTTTCAATTTGTTTGGCCTAATATTTTAAATTTCAAGCTACTCCCTTTAGAGAAATAAGAGTACTTATAAGCTATACAATATAAATGTATGACATATCTGATTCTGCTTTCTGTGGAGTAAATTATAAAGATATTTGCAAAGTGTGGAGATTGGTTAAAATATTTAATTTATTAGTATGTAGGTGACTGGGATTTTGTACTGTTTATTTGCCATGTCACAAAACTTTTTTTTTTTTTTTTTTAATGAATTTTTCATGCTTGAAAGACAATGTGGAATATTCATTCCATAACTAAGATAATATATAATAGATTGATGCAAAAGTTTTCAGTAGCATTTTTTGTACAATATTAGGGAAATTTTTTGAACTTTTTATTGTCTAAGCAGTTAGTCATCCTGAGTATTATGATAATTTACATACAGCAGCAAAGCCTTTTACTGGAAGGTTTTTAGGAGCATGGAAGCACCTTTTAATTGCTGTTGCTCCCAGGTCCACCCTGACCTGAGGTGGTAGCACCTGTTACGGTCCCAGTTATGGGCAAATAGTTAACTCCTAAACTAAAATTGGAACACTATGAAGGTATAAAAATAGATTTTTATAGTGAAAATTCCAGCAATACATTTTTATAGTAAAAAAAGTTACCAGCAATTCATTTTTATATTCAGCTGTAAAAGCAGAGTAACATATTGTATTAATTCAAGGCTCCCAAGAAAAGTAAATTTCGGCATTAAATCGTCCATAAAGAGTTAATATGCCATTAAACAAAAAAACTATAACTAAACTATGCAGTTAACTAATATTTTATTTACTAGATGTAGGAAAATGGATTATGTATGAACCTATGAAAATGAGCAGTGTTTTAACTAGAGCTATCCAAGCTTTTAAAAACATTTTTGTAACACATTAACTTTTATTCTCCAGACCAATCATCTTTAGGCTATCATTTGTTTCAGTCCATGTAACACTACTTATATGGTTTGCAGTTCCAATATCAAGATAATGACAAATTACTTTTATTGTAGAATATATGAGCCAGTTATGTGCCATGTGTGATGTATGCTTAGGCGATCATGTATGTTTTTGATAAATGACTGATGAGGCAGATATTTTTTCCTGCAGTAGGTTGCTATCTCTTTCTGTGGTAGACCAGTTGCCATCTAAGGTTATACAATATGATCTGTCCTACTATTTACCCATAGATGGGGGGAGAAGAGGATTCATAACTTTCCCAAGCATGTAAGTGAATGTAATGGATTTTACTGGAATTCGAACTTGGCTCCCGGATTCCTCAGTCCGAGCCACTATCCATTGCTCCACTGTAGAAGACATAACTTAGCTTAAACATACATGGGGAAAATAATTTGATGACTGAATAATGATGATATGAATTTATATGAATAAAATGTTTAGATCTAGAAATATGCTGGAAAGATTTGCATCATCCTTACACATGTTCTTGATTATGACTAAATGAACTTGCCATAAAGTTATTTATGCAAATTCTATCACCTATATAAATTGTGGCAATGACTACTTACTATATTAATTAAACTGAAGTCCTGGCATAGTTGTAAAAAATATTTTGTTAGATTTAATTTAAAAAAGATCTGTTAGTTTTGCAAATTAAAACAGTCATGTGAACAGATGGATGTGTGTGAATGTATATCTTCTAAAGGATGCAATGGATTTTTATTAATCCAACAGATTTTTTATCACTTTAAACATTATTTTTAGTGGATACTTATATTTGAGTAGATGCTTTGTTTATTTGAATAGGATATTTTAATTCACCAAAACAACATTTACATATTAGCACCTTCAATCAGTTGTCATTTACCTGATTTTAGTTAAGGAAAATGTGTGTTTCTTTTATGTTATTATAGGTTGTACCTCTCTCATCTAGTATTTTTCTGTTCCACAACTCCTATCGTCTGATATTTTTTTTAATCTGCCATCATTGGGTTGTAAAAACTGCCACAAGAGTTTAGTTCTTCAGTATTTGTTTTATCATAAGATTAGATATGTATTATATTTCTTTAATTATTGACCTTTATCTGTTATTTTTTTTCTCTAAATCTTAAATTATTTTAATCTAACAATGCAACTATTTTAATATATATGGAGTTCCCATAGGTGTAATTTTCTGTTTTCCAGGATTAGTTCTGGTCTGGTAATTGACAGGTCTCAAGCCTACTTAATTAAAGAGGAAATTTTAAATTATATTGCACTCCTCTTTTTTTTTTTTTTTTTTTTTTTTAAATTTCTTCTATCTTTTTATAAATAAATTACATCACCAAATTCATTAGTTTCAATATATTTCATGTATAAGTTATACAAAAATGAATTTTTTCAAATAATAACTGAAAAAGAATAATTAAATTATTAAAATTAGCAAGATTACTTGTAATTACTTTCAGAATTAGTAGTTGATTTAATCTAAATGAGAAAATTTCACTTGAACAACTTCTTTCCACGAACCACTACTTTGTGGAACTGACTCCCAAGAAAATGCTTTCCTGACTACAAGTCTTAACTGTTGTCTTTCCCACATATCCTCCTAAACTGCGCTACTTACATCTTACACTTACTGCACACACAACAAACTCCTTCAGTAACCCTCTCTTGAGTAGCTCTTGGGCTTTATATAACTCTAATCTTAACTTTAGTAAAAAACAAAAAAAAAAACAAAACACACCGTACACAAAACCAATAGAAGCACCTAAGTTTGAACTTGACATTAACATATTGATTATTGTTCTAGAAGCATATATGAAAATGTATACATAATTTTATTTAGAAAAGTATTTTATAAGTAATCCATAATATATATTTTAAGTTTCTCTAGAGCAGCATTTTTCAGACATTTTTCTGTTCACTAGGTTCATTTATTTAACATCAACAATTTATATGTATATTTCTTATGATCCGCACATATTGGAATTGCATTTATCTATTTGCATGAATATAAAATTATTACTTTTAGAAAAACAAATTTGAAGGAAATTCCATCACTCAGTCCGCAGTGAGTTTGATGAACAAGATACATAAACTCAATGAGAACAGACACACATATATATATATATATATATATATATATATATATATATAGTCATCCAAAGACTGTTTCACTGTACCACAGCTCCTCAATGTGGCTATATATATATAATCTCAGTTAATACCAATAGATTCTCTAATTTTGTGTACCACAGTGTGGTCAGAATGTGGCTTTTGTATATATATATATATCAAATACAGTTTTTTTTATTTATATAGGCCAATATATATAAGGGTTCTGAAGGGGGCTGTTTTATGAAAAAGTAAGAGGTAAAAAGCACAGTTTTTGAGGATAAAAAAAAAAAAAAAAAGTAGCATTTTTCAAACTTTTATTTACTGTGATGTGCAGCAAGAAAAACTCATGATGATCTGTTATAACTACATGTAATAAATCAAAACAAACTCTGCTCACTAGGTTCATTTATTTAACATCAACAATTTATATTGATCCGCACATATTGGAATTGCATTTATCTATTTGCATGAATATAAAATTATTACCTTTAAAAAACAAATTTGAAGGAAATTCCATCACTCAGTCCGCAGGAGTTTGATGAACAAGATACATAAACTCAATGAGAACAGATATATATATATATATATATATATATATATAGTCTGTTTCACAGCTCCTCAATGTATATATATATATATATATATATATATATATCTCAAAAGTGTGTAAAAAAAAAAAAAAAAAAAAGTGCTTACCTTGGTGAAAAACTCATGATGACTTATGAGTGCTGTGCAACATTTGGAGTTGTTTATATTCTGCACTTTGCTCTCACTTGTTCTCATGTATGCATTACTCACTAAAGGGTTGGGACTTGCTGTTTGGAAAACCCTGCTCTAGAGGTTGTATGAAAGAATAGACAATTTTTTAATATTTTTTAGCTAATGCAAAATAAAATATTTAATTTATAGTTAATAATGTAGCTATATAAGTAACAGATAATTTTGAAAATGGAGTAAATATATAAAAATACAAGTGTCTATCTGAAGAGGAATAACTAGTTTTTCATTGGTAATTTATAGCTCGATCTTAAGACAGTTGTATGCAGAACCTTTGATATTTTGGTAAAAAAAAAAAAAACATTTTTTTTCTTTTTTTTTTCTTAGATTAAAATAGGTTCGTTGTCAAACCTGGTTCTTAGTTTTTAAATATACATTAAACAAAATTGACATATTTTTAATAAGATGATATGATCTGATATATTAAATCTTTTGTATCTACTAAAGAACATAATACTAGACAATGAATTTCCATTGTTTAACTTTTTCTAACAAAATCCACTTGACTTTCATATTTATATTACTGAATTATTTTTGTCTTATGCCAAAGATGCTTATAAACTCCAAGAAAGAAAACAAAAAAGGTTACTAGTAAAGAAAAATCTAACAATTTTTTTTCCCCCACTCCTAATGACTGATTTTTTTTTTTTTTTTGATGGGCAGATCTTTAAAACAAGCTAACTTTTTTAAAAAAAAAAACACAATATTTGACTATATTATTTTTATGTGACTAATATTTTTTCTATCTACTTCCAGCCGAGTAGTACTCCCCATGAAGGTGGAAGAGGTAAGAATTCTTTTGAATCTTGAAGAAAAAAAAGAATTAACTAATACTTCTTTTTAGATTAAATATATCACCCTTTCCATATAGAGAGACCTGTTTGACATAAACATTGATGTTAGATGTACTATCATATAGACAGAAAATGTCATTAATTAATAAATGCCTTTCTCATTACTTTTGAACAAATGTTCATCAATTTATGACACAGGACCATAGGGTTACAAAAATGTCATAACCCTTATATATGGGGCAGCAGATCAGTATTTAAACATATATTATCAAATATAACAGACAATGAATGTCTATTGTGTCTGATCATGGGCCGTTCAAATGTTTGCTTTAATTTCGGGTGAAAATAAAGACAAAAATTGTCTAACATTTAGATATTTTTTTTATTAAGTTGGTCCTAAGCTTTTGACTCACACGAGCCACCCTCGGAGTGGTTATATGGACATGAAATAAAGATATCCACCATCAAAGATGATATTTTGTTATTTTGATATAGAAAATTGCTATGCGACTATAACAGCTGCAGAATAGCAGATGCAGATCCTAAGTTCAAGATGCGGTTTTATGACGTCATACCATGTGATAGAACAAAGTATTACAACAGAACCAATGTCTAGATACAAAATAATGAGTTGTGACTTTTTTGAAATGTAATTTTGTTGAGTGTGGGTTGCTTCGTTTTAATGTAGATGGCCTCCAATATCTGAAGGTTCTGTGTGTATGTGTGAGTATTATTGTATTATCAACTAATATCTAATATTATGTACATGGCTGTTTTTCTAAGAAATGTTGTTTTAATAGAACTAAAATATCCAAATGTTGGACAATTTTTGTCTTTATTTTCACCAGAAATTAAGCAAACATTAGAACAGATCATGATCAGACATAATAGACATTCATTGTTTTTATATATATATATATATATATATATATATATATACACTACAGTTCATCCCTCAGAATTAGTGTGGGGTGAACTTTATAGAAAAGTGAAAAAGAAAAATGAAAATGAGCTCTTAGTCATTGAAAAAAAGAATGGAATAAATTATCAAACTTTGAGAAACTTTTGTAATGAATACCAAAAATTTATGCTGCATTAATCAAGAGCAAAATTTAATCATAAAATGCTTTTTTTCTTTTTGTCATAATCAAAATTTTTGAAAAAAAAAAATTTACACAAATACTTATTCTCTAATATAATCACCTTCCCTGTTAATGCACTTAATGCTTATTCATCAATCATAGATCAAACATTATACTGTGAAATTTTACAGATCAAAATTCAACTGTCGGGCTTATTGTTACATCCTAGTATTTCATGTAATTTAATTTTTTATACACTTAGGCAATAATGTCTCTTTCCCAAGGACATTAATGCATAAGTGAATGTATCAGATAATGCAGGGATTTGATTTGAACTTTGTTCACTGAGTCCACTTTCTGCACCAATAAGCATTATGATATTTGTACTTATCTTTTTTTCTAAGAAAAATTTAATGAGATAGAATTTGGTTTCATTAAGTTTATCTAAATAAAATCGGACATAAAAAATTTTCTATGAATGACCTTAGCTTCAGTCAGTCAGTCAATTAAGTGCCATACATGATACATGCTTGGGCAATCATGTCTCTTTCAATTCATGACTAACAAGGCAGAAGATTTTCCTGCAGTAGACTGCTGTTTCTTCCTGCATTGGACTGGTTACCAAACAATGCTATAGGACCCAGATTATCCTGCTATTCAACTCCTAACTAGTGAGAGAAGAAATGGATTTCTACCATTTCCAAGGATATTTGCACGCAAGTGAATGTAGTGAGCATGACTGGAATTCAAACTCAGCTCTATCATTTCTCATATCAAGCTGTCATCCATTACACCACACCAAATCACACATACAACTGTAGCTTAGCTTACTTTTTATAAAATTTCCTTGATAAGTCTTTTTTAATAAAATTAATTTAAAAAAAAAAAAAAAAGCTTAAGCTTTTGGTAATTTCCAACCTGGACTATTTATGAGGAAATTTACTTTAACTGGAGATTTTTGTATTGTAGTAACTTATTTCCATTAATTTGAAATTATTAATTGATTAAACTAATTATTGTTTCTTTCATTGTTCAGTCTGAATATAATTACTATGATTTAAGTAGAGGCATGTGGTATTCACAACAATATTGACTAATTGATGGTTCATTATAAAATATCTCCACTTTAAGAGATTATGGCCACATGACTATGTCACCTTAAAACACAGGTTCCCGTATGATCACCAAAGTAAAGCAACAAAAGAATAAAGTAAAACCAGGTCAATACCTAGATGGTTGACCACTTGACAATACCAGATACTGTAAACTTAGATGTGTGGGTGGTGGTGTAAGCTTAGATATATGGGTGGTGTAATGGATAATGGCTCCGAATTGTTAATCGGAGAGCCGAATTTTGGGTTTGTTATATTCACTTTCACACAAATGCCTTTGGGAAAGGTATGAATTTACCTCTTTTCTCTCAGCTATGGGTTAATTAGTAAAACTTTTATTGCTAAGCCATTATAACTGCAAAAAAAAATTCTTACACTGAAAATTCTTTTCTGGCTTTCTTTTCCTGCAAAGGATTGATAAGCTGTAAAAAATGAATTGGTCAATGAACAATCATTATAAGATGTTCAAACACTTTCAGAGAATTCTTACAGTACAAGACATTCTTGAATATTTAAACACTTAATTGATACATTTTTGTTGAACCTTATATTTTATAGGCATAAATGCTAGACATTTGAAATTTAAATGTGTAAGCTCCTGAGAAACATTTGCAATATAAAGTTTTATCATCTCTCCACTGAAAGGACAGAGGTTACTTCGACATGTAATGGCTGTTTGTCTCACTAGATCAATTACAACTGATCAGTGAGTTTGATCCTCACTGGGTGCTTCATAGTTTCAGTCTTCTGTCATATTTAAGCTATGCTTAGTAATATGCTACTATAATTTGACCATGGTAAAGATCAAATAAAAGAAGAAAAAAGAATTTACCTCATGAAACCTCATCTTTCTATTTTTTTGATTATCACTACTACCAAGACTTCAATTTTTGCTTGCATTGCCTGTTTATTGCAGCATCTAAGAACATTGCCTTTCTCCTCATATTTCATTCTGAAAATAAAATCCTCTAATTGTTATTTTCCACATGGATGTCATCATTGTCAGAATCTTAATGTCTATTTTGGTAAATGATATAATTAAAAAGAACTTGTAATCTTCTATTCTCTTTTTTAAGAATTTAATACTATATAAATCCAGCTACAAGCTGTCTATTATCTGATTTGACCTTAAATTACTTAGAAAAGTGAAATGTACAGAGAAACAATGAGACGGAAATGGTAATCAGTTCAAGATTTGGTCAACTGCTTATTTGAAAAATTATAAGTCGTATGTGTGTGCATGTATGCATGTACTAGTGTATACATTAAATGCCACAAACACATGTAAATCACTCCTGCACAAGATATGCTATTTTGAGGACATTTGAGCATAAAAGATTTTTTTCGTGTTTAATAACAGTGGTCAGTATAAGCAGAAAAGCAGTTACTATAGTTACCAACAATTTTGATTAATAATGATGAAGTAGAACTTGATATAATAACCATTTGGCAACAAGTTGTATGCTATCTTTAGAACAGCGCAGAAGGATGTAAAATAATAAATTGTCATGGTTACATGTTGATAACTTTGAATCTGATCTTATATTGCTGTATTGATAACTGTAAGAAAAAAAAATTACCATTTTTATTTATATCCTCTTGCCTCTAAGCTATTAGTTTGCTAAAGACGAATACAGAATCTTTCACTTTTGGTAGATGAAACTAATCTGTGACAAACAAAGTTTCTTTCTGACACCTTAATTTTTGAAAACCAATGAAATTCTTGTAAAAATGCAATGTTATGTCACTACTGGCATAAGCTACCAGGGATGAAAGTTCACTAGAATAGATCCAGATCCAGGGCCTTTTTTACTCCTTCGAGGAACCCCTCTCTGATTGGCATGTCTTCAGGGATGTAGCCATAGTCATCATGCTTGGCCAATTGTGGGTTAGTGAGGGTTAAATAACCCATAATCAGAAGTTTTGAATTCAGAGTTGTCCTTCTAAACTTGTTGCCATCCAAGACTATAGGACTGTCAGTCCTGCTATTTATCTGTAGCCTGGGCAAGGAGAAGAGATAGATTCATACCTTTCTTATTTGCACATGATTGTAACAAACTCTACTGGAATTTGAACTTGGTTCTCTGATTCCTCAATTGGAACCACTAACCATTACTCCACTGTGTCTCTGATATAATACTACAATACCTTGTACTGATTCCTAAAAAGAAAAAAGTACATGTCATAAAACTATAAGTGCTTTTTCATAGCAGACATATCCGTTGTGCAAAGCTAAAGACTGGTAGTTGAATGGTTACCTCTATGCATTCAATGTCAAGAATTAGTTTAAGTTCGGATGTCTTTTTCATAAACTGGCTGCCATCCAAGATTAGAGAGTCAACTCTATCGTTATTTAATCCCTAACTGAAGGGAAAAAGAGATGGATTTATGCCTTAAGATTGGTACAAAGTAGACATTGCAAGCTCAGATGGAATAGGAGCTCTGCTCACTGATTCCTCTATCTATACATCTATTGGTTGATTTGTTAGAAAGTAACTTCTTGATATTATTGGTCTAGGGGAGGCAATCCTAGCATACAACACTTTTGGAAAGTGGTTGAAAACCATACCACAGGTTGACCCAAGTCTTGTGAGGGAAATTATTTGGGAGATCTGTAAATGGTTATGCTAGCATGAATTCACAAATCATTGTGACTGAAGGTTTGAACATGCTGGCCTTGTTTGGACTGTTGATCATGCCAGATTATATGCGCTCTCCCAAAAACTGTAACTAAGGTTTGCTCAGCATAGTTGCAGTATACGCCTTTGGTGGGCTCTGTGGGCATAGAACAAACATGAA